TCGGATGCCTAATGCTAGTCTATCGGATGCCTAATGCTAGTCTATCGGATGCCCAATGCCAGTCTATCGGATGCCCAATGCCAGTCTATCGGATGCCCAATGCTAGTCTGTCGGATGCCCAATGCTAGTCTATCAAATGCCCAATGCTAGTCTATCAAATGCCCAATGCTAGTCTATCAAATGCCCAATGCTAGTCTATCGAATGCCCAATGCTAGTCTATGGGCAGGCGGGTGTAAAAGGACTGGTAGCCGTTTACACTTGGTTACTGTGACTCTGGCCAGATCCAGAAAAACAGACAGACAGAACAGAGTTCCATTGCAACAGACCTGATCGTGCCGTCCATTTATATCAGATTCCCCATAGACCGACATGGGGTCCAGTCATTTCAGGGTTTTTTCTCTACAGTGGTGACATCCGATCCGTACCTGTACGGATCCCCCCTGATTGGACAGTGTGAAATGGGCTTAAGGCCTCATTCACACGGACATGGACAGCCCTACAGCATGCATGTCCATGTGGAGACCTGCACCCGGGAGGGACAGGTGCTATGTGTAGCCACCTGTACATTTTATGACAGCACGAGGCTGCACGCGGCTACACACCAATCCTGAACTTACACATCCATACCTGTATAGTTGTGCAAGTTCGGTTCAGTGTGTAGATGCGTGCAGCCTCGTGTCAAAGAAATGTGCAGGTGGCTGCATGCGGCTACACGCAGCACCTGTCCCTCCCAGGATTCTGCAAGGATGTGCACATTGTACGGCTGTATGAATTGTACGGCCCATGAATGAGGCCTAAGCCAGCATATCTACCGAAGACAGTGGAGACTGGTGGCAGCAGGGGTAAGTATTGCCCTTTACTTTGCAGAAAAGCCTCCAAGGCTTCTGCATGGACATGCACATTGTACGGCTCTGCATCTCCATGTGAATGAGGCTTAAGCATTAGAGAGCGCTGCTGACCGGCTACCACAATATGGCACAGAGTGGAATGGGGGCAGCTTAGCTTGTGAAAGCGGAGACAGGAAACGCTGTGAGTACAGCGCTCCTGTCTCACCGACCACAGAGCAGATTGGAAAACAGAACGTTCTCCGGTATGCTCCCCGCTCTCCATCCTGAAGTCATTTGCCGTGGTCCTGGGTCCCCCAGAAGAGCGGGGCGGTAGGGGGACAATCAGGCTGCTACAAGTGATATGGGCAGCTGCATAGTCCCGCCGATCACTTGTACAAAATGAGCGGTGGCTTCCCTGCTCTACATTTAGCCCAGCTTGCCCGCAGCAGGGCTAAATGTAGAGAAACCACCTGCTCGTCGCTCGCTGGGGCGATAGGTATTGCGCACCCCTGCTATCCCCAACAAAATCCCAACACTAATTAACCAGTTTGCTAGATTAACATTTATTAGCACGATGCAATGTGCTGAGGGAACGTCAATCTCCATCTTTTTATGGAATAGGGAGCCTACAACATGAGGGATTCCAGTCTCCAGTCCACTGACAGC